GCAGCGGTCGCGCGTCCCACCTTTTATAGCCACGTGCGGCACTGTGACGCGGTCGCGCATCCTATCTTTCGTACCATTTATAAACGACGTGGTCCGCAGTATAATCGAATACGCTTCAACTTAGAAGGTTTTTCAAGCCCAATTTTCACAAGATTTTCACATCGAAGCCAAAATTTTCACATCGCTTCATTCCTTCTTCCAGTTTCCTGCGCGTTTTCAAAAAAAAAGGAGCAGCAGAAACTAAGAAAAAGCGATACCGATCGCAAAACATGTGTTTTCACCGGGAAGAATCACCTCAAAAATGCTTGTGCTTTAACGTTTACAGCGTGAGTGAGCAAAATTCGCTTTTTTCTTGGCATTACACTTCCTTTTGCTGTATTCTAATACTGCACCTCGGACACTTCCTTTGCATTGGACGTTGCTGAACCTAACATTGCAAAATTCGTTTCTTGCATCTGATCGATTGAATGCGAGGTTTACGAGACAGCCCTCCAGAAGTCAAGGGGAGGTGATCAGTGACGCACGGACAAAAAAAAACAAGAAAATCGGTCCAAAACTCTGGAAACGGGACCGCTTTGTATGCTGAATGGCGCGTCTGGTGAGTCTCATCTGTGCTGCCCTCCTCTGAACCTCTGAACGGCTCGAGTCTGACGGCGAGGGTCAAATCAGTAGGAGTGGTGCGGCGCGAGCGGCGCGGAGAACTCCCTGGAAGCAAACTTCCCTGCGAAACCCGCATCATCTCACCTCATGGGCCTATCTGCCTTTCAAGTAGGTAAATTTCCCCTTCTGCGCGCGCGACCTTATCGTAGAACCCTCCTTTGGAATCTGTGAATGATCTGACCATGAGGTGAGTTGGCCGCGCCCGCAAAAGGAGCCTGTCCCACGTGCCGAGAAGACTCAAAACTCGCGCTGTCGTCAAAGTGTTGAAGTTCTTCATGAGCAGAAGAGGACGAAATAGAATCACAGTGTAGTTCGACTTTCCGTTCCGCATATTCATCTTCATTACGTTATAGTCATTCAAAGAAATCAGAGCCATAATGAAAAAATCAACAACGCAGCAAATAGGCGCAAGCCGGTTACTCACATCATAAAGAAACATCTGGTGCAATGATATAATACATTTATACAAATCTAGTTCGTTGTAGAGGTATAAGAACAACCATAGGAAAGTTGCAAAAAAATATGGATCATCCGTAGATCATTCCCAGTCCACCATATGGATAACCAAAGACGCCGTACGGATACCCCATAGCTCCATATGGATAGCCCAGACCGCCATAGGGATAGCCGTATCCTCCGTACGGAAGCCTCGATCCATATGGCATATCCTACCGTCCACGTCTTCTCCATCCGAAACCCCAACCCCCATGGCCATCTTTTGGTGCGCCGATGCGATCTGAAATAACCATGCTGTCTTATGAAGGACGCAAAAAAGGAGTGCATTGAAATCAATAAAAAAAACTTCTTAAGACGTAGGGCAACGTTTTCTTCAGGACACCACACTTTTGGTTTTAAGATGATCGATTCTTTCAAAAATACAAGATGCGAGTATGAGTGGGTTAGTACCACAACTAGTCCAGGATCAAATATTGGGTTGATGTTCAAAAATTGCAAATCAAGTGACTGAATTCAAGCCGGCAACCTTACATTTTGACGGATACTTGTCCTTTTCTTCAGTGTCGTTATACCAATGTTTCCAGACTTGTGTGCGCGGAGCTAACCGTATGGACCTCGGAGCGTGCCTTCAAATAATTGAGACAGCTAAGACAAGCTTTTGAACCTAGGGTTTTGTTGTGAATGGTTAATAACTTCATTCCATACTGCTAGGAAATTCCAGCACTGTCGGATCCATGGAGCGTCCCAAAAAAGAACTGACCACGTAGAATGTATGAAAGACCCCTAAATAAGTCCGAAGGAGGGCTGTGCGGCCACTACTCGAGCACTCACGAAGTTCTTCTGCCTCTGCTGGTCTCAGTCCATACGTGTCCAAAGTTGGCGGGGTGAAGGTATAGTGCTCAGGTTATACTTGAAGGAATCATTTCCCGGCACTTCTTGCGGTCTCTTCCAAAATGACTGTACCAACTGTGACTACTAGAGACATCACACAAAGATCTCACTCACCAAGATTCGAGTCGGTTTCCAAAGAGGAAACAAACTCAAGAAAACCACATTTTATGGACAGTCGAAGGTAGGTCGCGCGGAGCCAAAGGCGGGGCATGGAAAGAAGTGTGCCTTGGGCGTACGTATCAGGCGACGCAATGAAAGAATCGGGTTAAAGCGTGCGATTTTGGAGAATAGAGACAAAACGATCGATAGAATAGGATGCAGTAGAAGTGTGAGATGTCAGTGCAATAAGTCAAAAACTCAAAAGAGTTTCCAGTGACAGCACTTCGTGCACTAAGTATAGCGTTTTTTCCCTTCTTATCGTGGACCATGGGTCTCAAGCAAGTAGCGACGATCACCAATAAATAGAAATTGTTCCCAGCATCATTGCTGTTTGACTTAGGATTTCTCAGACCCGAACAAGTAGCAAACGTCGCAACATCCTGCATTCTTTGCAGTACAGACGAAAATCGCAGAGGTGAGAGAAGACCCATGTTTGAGAACTTTCGTTCCTAACATCTACTTAGGATGACTGCGTCGAATTGACCATTCCTCCAGTCACGTGATCAAAATGCTGGCAAGAAACAGCGCGTGGTTCTCTCAATTGACATGCAAGTAAGTGCCTAGAAGTCAACGTTCAAGAGAGCTGGGAGCTTTTGTACAGTTTGTAGACCCGATCATGTTTGTGGCAAAAACGGCTCCTTGAGGTTTTTGAAGACTTTTCTCCGAAACTAAGTGAACTCGTTTTTATCGACAGAAAACCTGTTGTTGATTTCTGTCATCAACTCAACGAAATTCGGAATTGTTCTCAGCAGCGCATCAACATATTTGCTTCTAGTCGGTACAAAAATGGCCGACAGCAAACAGTTGGCGAGGTTTCACAGGGATCCTTCGTACTTCTATCGTAAGATGAAGTACCTGGTTAAAGTGAAAAATTGCTCGAAGAAATCAGAAGATACGGAAACCGCAACGCAAACGCTCACGAAAATTCTTCGACCTTTCCAAGTTCTTCTCCGCTTGTGCTGGTTTGTAAAACTCTGCGTTTTTTGCATTCTGTGCTGTTACAAAAGACTTGAATTAAGTGGCCACCAAAATATGAAGTGGTCTTTT